CCCCCAGCACGGTCACTGCCCCTCGATGACCCCCCCGTTGTCCCTCACGGCTTCCTCAGGTGAGACCCCCGTCCGTGGCGATCCCTGCAGGGTCACTGCCCCCCGTTGTCCCCGCACAGGTTCCAGGTGCCACAGCCCCAGCCCCAGCTCCCCCTCGATGTCCCTCTCAGAAACCCTGGCCGTGAGCAGCAGCCCTGCCTCCGGCCGCTCCTGCGGCTCCTCGGGCAGGCTCCGCGTGCTGCCCGTCCCCACCTCCGTCTCCGGAGCTCCCGGGAAGCGCCTGAGCCTCGAGTGCCGCTTCGAGGCACCGCAGGACGCCGAGGTCACCTGGCTGCAGGTGTGTCCCCGGGACTACCGCGGGGACAGCTGGAGCTGCAGGTGGCCGGAGGAGGTGACGGTCGAGGGCGGGGGTCGCCAGATAGTTCAGAACCGGAATCTTTCCACGCTGAGCTTCCAGCACCTGCAGCACAACCACAGCGGGCTCTACTTCTGCCGGGTGCAGTCCCACAAGGCGTTCGGGCAGTCCTGCGGGACCTTCGTGAGGGTCATCGGTGAGTGCGGGGGGGTCTCTCGGGGATTCCGGGCAAGTTTTGGGGGGTCCGGCTGACACACCCGGTCCGGCAGAGCCCGTGCCGCTGCCGTTCCTGCAGCTGGACGACGCCACCAAGAACAGGATCCTGACGGCGCAGGGGGTGCTGCTGCTGCTCTGCGCTGCGGGGCCAGGGCTGCTGCTGCTCTTCAGGGTGAGCGGGGGGCAAGGGAGGGGACCCCCGCCCTTCATTCCGCTCCCGACATCCCCAATTCCTCCTGGGTACCCCATAAATCCCCGCCCAGGTACCCCTAAATGCCCCCTGCCACCCTTAATTCCCCCCTGGCGACCCCAATTCCTCCTGGGTACCCCATAAATCCCCACCCAGGTACCCCTAAACGCCCCCTGCCACCCTGAATTCCCCCCTGGCGACCCCCAGGTCCCCTGGAATCCCTCCCCAATCCCCCCCAGGTGTTCCCCAAACCCCCCCCGTGCCTCTGTTTTTTCCTTTCCCTCCCCCATTTCCAGAAGCGCTGGGCCAACGAGCGTCTCCTCCAGCCGAAGAAAATCTCCTTCGAGGAGGAAAACCTTTACGAGGTGACCTGGGGGAGGAAGGCCCCTGAGCCCCCCCCCAAAAAAAGGGGCTGGGGGTTGTTGTGTCCAAACCAAAACCCCCCACCCCAATTTCCCTTTCCACAGGGGCTGAACCTAGACGAGTGCTCCATGTACGAGGACATTTCCCGGGGGGTCCAACCCACCTACCAGGACGTGGGGACCCCCCTTGCCGCCGACGGTCTCCTGGAGAAGCCTTAAAAAGAGACCCCCGAAATGAGGGTGGGGGTCCCCGAAACCCCTGCGTGCCCCCCACCCCACAAAGGCTTTGCTTTGGTAACTCAAGGCTGCGCTCATTGCCCCCATCCCAAAATCAAGCCGTGGTAATGGGGGACTCCTCCCTCATCTGGAGCTGATTAGTTGCTAATAAATAAAAAAAAAAAATCATTAACGGATCTTTAATGAGTTGTGAATAAACGAGACCTCCATTCCCCCCGTTATCCCAAATTCCCCTCCCATACTCCTCACAGTTTCCCCCTATTTTGTGCCGTTATCCCCGGTTTTCCCCATTATCCAAGGTTTCCTGCATTTTATTCTGTTTTCCTCCATTATCTCCAAGTCCTCCGTTCTACCCCATTCTCCTCTTTCTCCACCATTTTCCCTATTTTCCGTCAATTTTCTACTAAATTTTCTCCCAATTTTCCATCGTTATTCCCATTTTAATCTAGTATGCCCCCGTTTTCCCCCACTACCCCGATTTCTACCCATTTTCCCTCATTGTCCCTATCTTCCCTCTTTATCCCCATTTCCCCCATTATTTCCCATTCTCTCTGTTCTCCTTCCATTTGACCCCAGTATCGCCATCTCCCCATTACTCCAAACTCCCCTCATCGTACCCCGTTTCCCCCCTTTTGCCTCCATTTTTTCCGCCTAATTTTCCCCGGTTTTTCCCCATTTCCACCCCTTGTTCCCAACTTCCTCAGGCCCGTCCCCTCCTTCCCCTCACGGAGGCCTCGCCCCTCCCTCAGGGCCCCGCCTTTTCCCGCCCTCAGCGCCGGAGCCAATCAGCGCCCGAGAGCCGGGGCCCTCGGGCCAATGGGAGCGAAGCGCGGGAAAATTCGAGTGACCCCCCCCACCCCGGGTGCCCAACGGTCGCCGCACGAGCCGGCGCCGGCCCCGCCCACCGGAGCGTGAAGGGGCGCGGCCTCGAGGCAGGTGAGGGGAATTGGGGAAAATTGGGAGAAATTGGGGAAATTGGGGGAGGACGGGGGCGTCCTAAGGGGGAATATGGGTCCTAGAAAGGAACGGGAGGCTCTAGGGGATGAGATCCGAGGGGAAAGCGGGAGTTGGAGCGGGGGGGGGGGGAACGGAAGGTCCTGGGGGAGAAACTGAGGTGGAATTGGGGGACTGGAGGCAATTACGAGGTCCTGGGGGGGGTGAATTAAGGGGTCCTGTGGGTACCGAGAGGTTCCGTGGGGGGAATGGGCATCCTGAGGGGGGGAAAACTCCTCAACAACCTCCCTTTTTTTCCATCTTTTTCCCCAGCTGCCACCGCCACCATGAGCCACTCCCGGGGGATCCCGAGGGCCTCCCCGCAGCGGAACCAGCGCCCCCTCCCCGTTCCCAAATCCAAACGTCTCCGGACCAAACGGGAACGCAACGCAGCCAAATTCGGCCCAAAGGTCTTCTTGGGGGGGTCCCGGCGGGGTCCCACCGGCCCCCCTCGCTGGCTGCGGCCTCCCCCGTGCAGGGGTCTCGCTTTGGGGAGCCCCCTGGGCCCCCCCAAACCCGTGGTGATCACTCAGAACCGCCTGTGCCACCGCGGCCTCTTCAACCACGAGGTCAAATCTCTCGATGTCCGGCGCCTGCTGACCCCCGGCCCTGCCCCGGCCCCCCCAAAAAGCGAGCAGGGGGAGGCCGGAGGGGTCCCGGCCGAGGCGCTGAAGGATCTGGTGGCGAGTCTGGCCTCGCTGCTGGCGAGTTTTGGGGTGTTTTTGGGGCGGGAGTTGGTGAGCGAGCGGCGCCGGGGACTCGTGGCCACGCTCAGGAGGCACCGACGGGGACCCCCGGACCTGGGGGTCTTCCTGGCCCACCGCACCCCAGCCCAGCCCCCAGGTACAGCCCCCGCCCCAAGGGGAGGATGGGGGCACCAGAGACCGCCCCCCACCCCAAATCGAGTGTTGTCTGCATTGTCTGCAGCAGGTCAGGGCACCCCCCAAGGCCCCCGGCAAGAGGCGAGGACGGGACCCCCAGGACGAGCGGTCAGTTTGGGGGGGTGGGAGGTGGGGGACCCCCCTGTCGGGATGCCCAGCCCGCTTCGTGCCGTCGATACGGTGAGTGCCCCAAAAAGTGCCCTAAAAGGACTTCAAAAGTGCCCCCAAAATACTCCCAAAGTACCCCAAAATTTACCCTTAATTACTGCCCCCCCCCCTCCCCGCTCGCAGCTGCCGCTGCCCCTCCGCACCCCCAGCCCCATTTTTGGAGCCCCTAGAGAGCAGCAGGTGAGTCTGGAATTTGGGGTGGGGGGGGTCCGGGGGGTCCCACCCTGTTTTTGGGAGTGTTTATTGACACCCCCCCCCACCCCCAGAACCCTTTTTCATGGAGCTCGGCCGAGGAGGATGAGGAGGATGAGACCCCCGGGGGGTTCATCCAGACCTGGGGTGGTCCCGGGGGGTCCCTGCCGGCAACGCTCCCCTTCTGGAGGTCCCCACAGCCCCCCCAGGAAGAGGAGGAGGAGGAGGGGGATGAAGGCTGGACCCCCATCTCCCCCCCGCCCTTCAGTCCGGACCCTCCGCCCTGGCGATCTCCCCAACCCAGAGACACCCGTGGACCCCCCCGCGCCCCCAGACCCCCTCGGGCCCCCAAAATCTGGAGAACTGAGGCCCCCTGGGACCCCCCGGATCCCTCCGGGTCCCCCCCGAACGCCCCAAGACCCCCGTGGGATTCCCCGGACCCACCCCGAACTCCCCCCAGACTCTTCTGGGAACCCCCAGACCCCGCCCGAGCTCCCTCGACCCCTCCCAGACTCTCCCGGGCCCCTCCAATCTGGAGCCTGGAGCCCCGCAAGGCCCCCCCGGACCCCCTCAGACCCCTCTGGGACCCTCCCAGCTCCTCCAGACCCCCATGGGACCCCAGACCATGGAGCCCGGAGCCGCCCAGGGCTGCCCTGGACCACCCCAGACCCCCCCGGAATCTCCAGCTCTGGAACCCAGAGCCCCCCAGGGCGCCACCGGGTGCCCCGAGACCCCTGTGGGACCCCCCAGGACCCCACTGGGAATCCCCAGGTGCCCCCAGACCCCTCTGGGTTTCCCCAGACCCCTCTCGGGCCCCCCTAGACCCACGCAGGTCCCCCCGGACCCCCAAGCTCTGGAGCCCGGAGCCACCCTGGGACCACCCGGCCCCCTCCAGACCCTCGCGGGACCCCCGACCCTGGTGCCCGGAACCCCCCGGAGCCCCCCAAAACACGGAACCGTCACGATGCTGCTGCTGCCGCCGGCTCTGTCGCGACATAGCCCAGCGAGACGCGCTCTGTCGCCACGCCGTCCGTCGCCACTCGCCCCGTCCCGCCCCTCTCCATCGAGACCCCCCCCACCGCTGCCCCCAGCCCCCCGAGCGCCGCCCCCCGGGCTGGGGAGGGGCTCGGGGTGGCCCCAGGGCCAGCCCCTGCTCGGCCCTGCTGGCCCCGGGCTGCCGCTGCCCCTGCAGGGGGCTCTGCCGGGGTGGGGGCTTCGAGATGAGGAGGGGGCTCTGATGGGGGAGGGGCGCCCCCCCCCCAATAAAAGCTGTTTATTCAAGCCACGGGGTCCCGCTGTTCTTTCGGCTCCCCTGACGCCCCCGGAGACCCCTGAGCCCTCAGTTTCTCTGCAGATCTCCCCCCAAATCCCCCTCGGGTCTCCCAGCACAACTGGCACCGCTCGGCCTGGGGGGGGGGGGGGGGGGTCCTCAAACCCTTCAGAAGCCCCCCCAAAATCCCTCCCAAGAACCCTCCAACCCCCCCCCCCCTCATCGCCCGAAGTTCTCCCTGCCCCCGCTTCTGGGCACACCCCAAAAATCTTCCCCGCCGAGACCCCCTCAAAACCCTTTCCCGACCCCCTCCCATCCCCACCTTCCGCATCTCCCTCAAATACCAGGCGAACCAGGCTCGAATTAGGGTTCCTAATGAATCTCTGTCGCTAACAAAATCCGACGAGGACGCGAAGAAGCGAAACAGAACCTTTAAAAACCAACCCTCCCTCCTCCCCAGGGAACGGGGAGTCCGGGCAGTTCACCCCGGCCAGCTCCTCTCACTCCGTCCCCCGAGGTTTCTCCTGCCCCACACGGAGGGGGAGTCCTTTCATCCGGTCCACCCATTTTTTTTTTAAGGTACTTTTAGGACTTTTTGAAGGTCTAGAGTGTTCTTATGGGTTCGCGTAGAGAGTTTTTAGGTATTTTTAGGGTTCTATCGGGGTATTGCAAGGATTTTTAAAGGTCTGTTATTTAGGGTACTGTTAGGGATTTTAAAGTTTTGTTGTTTATATTTTTAGGGGTATTTAAAGGGATTTTTAACAACTAGGGTATTGCTTGTATTTCAAGGGTATTCTGAGGCTATTTTTAGGGTCTCGTGGGTTTTTTTGGACGCTTTGAAGGTTAGGGGTTTTTTTAGGGAATTTTTGGGTTTTTTTTGAGGTCTTTTCAGGGGCATGACACAGAGGCTGAGGGCTGGGCAATGCAGGTAAGGGGTAGGAGGTACGGCTTAGGATGCAAATTAGGGTCCAGGTGCACCAACCCTCCCCCTAAACAACACCCCAAACAACACCTTCCCCCCCGAAAGCAGCACAGCACAGCAACCCTGACAGCTCCGGAGCCTTCCCAGCGGGACCAGGCGGCAACAGAACCCTCAGAAGAAAGTCAGGGTGACATCCGTGGGCCAGGGAGCAAGAGGTGGGGTTTGGAGGCTGAGCAGGTTTTTTCTGAGCTTTTTTCTGAGTCCACTGCAGAAGGATTCCAGCTCTCACACTTCTGCTCTGATTCCTCACTCTGGGGTTTTATTCCTGTCCCCGGTCCCTGTCCCAGATCCCGGTCCACAATCCCGATCCCGTTCTTCTGTCCCCGGTGCCAGTGCGTGATCCCGGTCCCAGTCCCAGTTCCCCATCCCGGTCTCGGTCCCTGTCCCCGGTCCTGGTCCACGATCCTGGTCCCGGACCCGGTCCCCGATCAGGGTCCGGGTCCCGGTTCCCGGTCCCTGTCCCCTGGAGATGCCCCCGCGGCTGCGGCTGCAGCGGGAGGAGCTGGAGCGGCACCAGGAGACCTACGGGGAGCACGACCCGCTCCAGCACTTCCAGAAAATCCCCCCGGAATCCCCGGGAAAATCCCCCCGGAATCCCCGGGAAAATCCCCCCGGAATCCCCGGGAAAAT